TTCGGCATATTATAAATTAATGGTTTACTAAAGCTACATGGTTCGGCAACAAATATCAGATAATATTTGTGATACAAATAAAATTTGTTATATTCAGTAACAACCTATTTTCAATATATGTATGTAACATAAAAAAAATCAACAAAAAGAGTTAGAACAAATACAATTGAAACTGCATATCAATATTTGTTTTCCTTTGTCATCACTAAAATTAAATTGATTTTATGTGTGTGATGATAAAATGAATGGTCTAACTGTAGATCTATAGTTATCCAAATTCATTATATAATATATCAAATTAAAGCTCTATCTTTCTAGTTTCCAAAGATTCAAACCGCTCATTAATTGCATTTTTATTGAGTAAGTTATGACCAATTTACTATTAATTATTCAGTGGAATCGAGAAACAGGAGAAACCGAAATGTGTGTGATGATAAATTGAATGGTTCGGTGGTGGGGCTACAGTTATTCAAATTAAGCGTATAATATCAAATTAAAACCATATCTGTCTAGTTTCTAAATATTCAAACATCTCATAAATCGGAGTTTTATTGAGCAAGTTATGATCAATTTACTACTGATTGTTCAATGGAAACCGAAATATGTGTGATGATAAAAAGAATGGTTTGACAATGGGGCTAAAATTATCCAAATTAGGCTTATAATATAACAATTTAAAGTCTTGTCTGTCTAGTTTCTAAATATGCAAACCTCTCATCAATTGGAGTTTTGTTGAGCAAGTTATGGTCAATTTACTATTGACTGTTAAGTAAAAACCAAAATATATATGATGATAAAAAAATGGTTCAGCAGTGGGGCTAATATCATCCAAATTAAGCATATAATATATCAATTTAAAGCATTGTCTGTCTAGTTTCTAAATATGCAAACCTCTCATCAATTGGATTTTTATTCAGCAAGTTATAGTCAATTTACTACTAACTATTTAGTAGAAACTAAAATATGTGTGATGATAAAATGAATGGTTCAACAGTGGGGCTACAGTTATCCAAATTAAGTATATAATATATAAAATTAAAGCCATATATGTCTAGTTTCTAAAGATTCAAACCTTTCATTAATTGGATTTTTATTGAGCAAGTCGTGGACAATTTACTACTGATTGTTCAGTGGAAGTTGAAATGTGTGTAATGATTAAAGGAATAGTTTGGCAGTGGGACTACAGTTATCCAAATTAAGTGTATAATATATCAAACTAAAGCACTTTTGTCTAGTTTATAAAGATTCAATCCTCTCATCAATTGGATTTTTATTGAGCAAGTTATGGTCAATTTACCACTAATTGCTCAATAGAAACCGAAATATGTGTGTTAAATAAATAAAATTAGTTATATTTAGCAACAACCTCTTTTCATGATATCTGTATGTAACATAAAAAGATACCAACAAAAAGAGATAGAATAATTACAATTAAAACTACATATCAATATTTATTTTCCTTTAAGGATAATAATAATGGTTTGACATATTATAAATGGTTTACTAAAACTGCATGGTTCGGCAACAAACATCAGACGATATTTGTGATACAAATAAAATTTGCTATATTTAGCAACAATCTATTTTCGATATATGTATGTAACATAAAAAAATATCACCAAAAAGAGATAGAACAAATACAATTAAAACTACATATCAATATTTGTTTTCCTTTGTCATCACTAAAATTGAATTGGTTTTATGTGTGTGATGATAAAATGAATGGTCTGGCCGTAGATCTATAGTTATCCAAATTCATTATATAATATATCAAATTAAAGCTTTATCTTTCTAGTTTCCAAAGATTCAAACCGCTCATCAATTGAATTTTTATTGAGTAAGTTATGATCAATTTACTACTAATTATTCAGTGGAATTGAGAAACAGGGGAAACCGAAATGTGTGTGATGATAAAATGAATGGTTCGATGGTGGGGCTACAGTTATCCAAATTAAGCGTATAAGATCAAATTAAAGCCTTATCTGTCTAGTTTCTAAATATTCAAATCTCTCATAAGTTGGAGTTTTATTGAGCAAGTTATGATCAATTTACTACTAACTGTTCAGTGGAAACCGAAATATGTGTGATGGTAAAAAGAATGGTTTGACAGTGGGGCTAAAATTATCCAAATTAAGCGTATAATATATCAATTTAAAGCTTGTCTTTCTAGTTTCTAAATATGCAAACCTCTCATCAATTGGAGTTTTATTGAGCAAGTTATGATCAATTTATTACTGACTATACAGTGGAAGCCAAAATGAGTGTGATGATGAAAGGAACGGTTCGGCAGTGGGGCTACAGTTATCCAAATTAAGCCTATAATATATCAAGTTAAAGCCCTGTCTGTCTAGTTTCTAAATATGCAAACCTCTCATCAATGGATTTTTTATTGAGCAAGTTATGGTCAATTTACTACTGATTGTGCAATTGGATTTTTATTAAGCAAGTTATAGTCAATTTACTACTAATTGTTCATTGGAAACTGAAATGCATATGATGATAAAATGAATGGTTTACTTGACCCAAATTTAAGGGATTATCAAATTAGGACTGATAAGAAATATTTCAAGTAACACCTATTAATTGGAAAACATAATCAACTAATATTAATTCATTTAACATATATACTCGCACATCAACATGACATAAACAATTAATCATTCATATAACAAATTAAATTGCACGAATGTTTTTACATAAAACATATTCAACACAAATGAACTGTTTCTACTAATATAGATCTGATATATACTCACAGTTCGACTAACAATAGGATCATCTTCGATTTGATCTTAGTAAAGTACATGAACATTTCCTTGAAAACAAACATAACAAAATTTAATCGATCTTTATGTTAAGATTGTTAAAGAACAATTATTCATTCGTATAACAATTATTACTTGAAAACGAAATCAATAAAAGTTAATTAATCATCATATTAAAATTGTTAAGGAATATACTTACCGTTTGGCAAGACTAATACAATTAATCATTCAAATAGATTGACCGAACAAAAACAATTATTCAACCAAATAATAACCGTTAGAATAGTTAGGAGATATACTTACAATTTCGTATTAAAATAGTTAGATGATATAGTTACAGTTCAGAAAAACGAATCAAAATAACAACTTATTTGACAATGTCAATCGGACATCCTTCCTTTATTCCATGCTAATTCATGAATCTTTGACCTGTAAACAACAAAAACGTAAATAAATAAAAAATTATCGATTAACAAAATCATAAAGAACAGACGTATTATTGACACAAACTAACATGACCTATAAACAACTAACAAAAGACTAGACATATTATTAACATCAACTAATATATTGCGATAATACACAACTGAATATACACCCCTTTTATAACCTTTTATTTAGACCTTTCGAATGCCAACACAATTAAATATGAATTGAATACGAATAAAGGTTTGCAATATCAATACAATACACCTATATAATTATTAATAAACATGTATGATTTTACTACCAATGCAATGCACCTATGTAATCCAATATTTATGTCTATTTATTTAAACTTTGGAATACTTATGTAGCAATTAATATTGTCTACATCATCACCAATAAAATTCAACTACATGACAATCACAAATCTAATGTGTCATTATAGTTAGACCTTTAGAATGTCAATGCCATGCACCTATATAATTAGTATTATCATTAATTATTAATACAATCAATGCAATACACTTATGTAATACAATCTTTATGTCTATTTATTTAGACTTTGGAATACCAATGTAGCAATTAATATTACATCATCACCAATAACATTCAACCACATGACAATCACAAATCTAATGTGTCATTGTGATTAGACCTTTAGAATGCTAATGCAATATCCCATTTTTTAATTAATTAATAATTATAGATGGATAAATAAATATCAATCTAACGTGTCAAGATAGAGCAATTTGATTGACTTGTCAATCCAACGTATCAAAATAAAGCAATTCTAGAACTTTTAAAATGTGTCACGTGTCGATCAACCCATATGAGTGTGTATATATATATATATATAAATAATTATGAAACAACAAAATAATCAACAGGTTTCTTCAAAAACAAATCCTTTTCGATTATTTTTTTTATTTTTTTTATTTTTTTTGGGAAGTGAATGAATTTTTACTTGAATAAGCTTGACTTAGAAAAAGTAATGAAAAACCATACAAACAAACCTGCCATCACCGAAAGCATCTCCCGCCCACACGACTCCCACAGCTCTTCACCTCCATCCCCGTCCCACTCAAACCCTCGTTATTGAAATTTTTACTTCAGAAGAAATTGTAGATTTAGCGTAGTATGATGTTAGGGTTGTCAGTGAAGTAATTCTTATGTTATCTATGGGTTTTAGTTTTGCTGCTGTTTGATGTGTTCATTTAATGTAAACCACATTTCCCCTAGTCTCTTTGATGTGTTCATTTAGTTTTGCTGCTGTTTGATGTGTTCATTTAATGTAAACCACATTTCCCCTAGTCTCTTTGACACCATCATCATAAATTTTAAACATTAGAATAATACTCTGTTCATCTTCAAACTTCCAACGAAGAAATGTCATATAACTAATACAAGTTTAGTAGATTAATCATTAACAAAAAGTATCATTAAAACATAGAAATGTCATATATTTAGACATACATACAAGATATGATTCACCCCTTGTAACAAAATCCTGTAAAACTAGAATTCTGTAAGTTGCTCATTTTAACGCAAAAAACAGCATCAATACTTGTACAGCAAAGTTTCCCTTTGTATTTAACATCTTTCAGCTATTCAATTTGGCATTCTTTGTGTTTAATTTAATGCACACCAAATTGACTTGTATAAATGCTGCTTTATCCCCTAAACGGAGTCACAGTGCATCTATCTAATAAACTAAAGCAATTAGAAAAACCCGAGTGAGAAACTAAGAATAGACCAGAAGTTGCCACGAAAAATTTAAGAAAACAAACACCAGGAATTAAGTGGTAACAATTGCCTAAATGCTGTCAACGTTTTCAATTAAAATGTTGAGCGAAAGTCTAGCTGCAAAGAAAGCTTCCTTAGCAATTTCAACAATATTTCTGAATTTGATCAACACAAGTAGATAGAAAAGACTCCTGGATGTAATACAGGATTGGCAATCCAAACATCAAAATATTATCTCACAGATGAAACCCACATAACAGAAATACGAACAAGAGTACTTGAATGTTGTCTCCCGAAAACTAAGCAAGAACATCTTAAGAGTTATGGAGGCAGTACAACTTCTTTGTTATCATGCTACAGGTACCAAGTCACTAGCTGGTTCACCGAGGACACAAAAGAACTGCAAATGAAATAAATGAAACCACCCTTCGTTATCCAATCAAAATGTAAAATAACCCACACAGCATGCACAGTGTGGCTAGATAAGAACAACCAACCTCTGTTTTTTTTACTCTTGGCCTTCAGCAGATTGAGAGACGTCCATCTTCTGGGCCTCTTCCACTATTTTAACAATCAGATAAACAATGGAATCACTAACTAAAAGTTTGTATAAAAGAAAAATAAAGATGAGCAAATCCCAAGCATAGATAAAGATTCGGTAAAAGAAGATACTTCATTGAGGAGGATTGATTGGAATATAAGAGATAAAGCATTAATAATGCACAAGGACAAGAATTTGAATGAACATAGTCATCAAGGGCATAGCCAATTTTTGTCGATAATTCTGGTAATGAAATCAAATATATGAGACGGAGCACAAGGATAAAGATTTAGAAGAAATTAATTCGAAAAAACTAACATTCAAGTAGCATTTGAAAATCACTGGCCAATATTCCAGTTATCCAAACCATAACTAAACTCATTTATGAACCTAGCGCATTCCTAACTCACTTGCACCGTTCAGTGATACCAATCACTTACAAAGCTCATGAGCACTAGAGAACTCTGTACTTCAGGCAAACACTTGAAGGAAAAAAATGTTCACTGTAATTGTCAGATACAATGCTAAAACATGACATCATATCCAACAACTTAATTTAAATGTGGATCTATCCCATGCAAACTACAAAAGGAAAATGCTATAATATCAACAAGTAGCCCTGAGAAACATTCCAGGATATTAATCCAATCAAACTTCCCGAAAGTTGACCGTACATGATCACTAAGGTGTTAAAATTATAAATTTTGAAATTGAGAAATTCAGCAGTATTTGACTATTGAAATATGGTGATATTGGGCATAGAGAAGAATTGACAGTAAATAAACTAATTTTTGATCCAAGAAGTCCTGACGTATCCATCAGGAGGTAAGAGTGTTGGAATATTATTTCTCTTGGAGAAAAGAATTGAGCTACCTCCATCCTGTGCCTCTGGCATTTCAGAAGTCCACAAAGTGAGATTGTCTCTTAATAGCTGCATAATCAATGTGCTGTCTTTGTAAGATTCCTCACTCAATGTATCCAATTCTGCAATAGCTTCATCAAAAGCCTGCTTTGCAAGGAGACATGCCCTGGAGAACAAGTTAAAATATAACGCGATTCCATATGGGTCACAAGAAGAACAAAAGAGCAGTCATAGAATTCAAAATTTTCAACAAAAGATAATAGTCTGTGTACCTTTCAGGAGCGTTCATAATTTCATAATAGAAGACTGAGTAGTTCAAGGCCAAACCAAGTCGGATGGGATGGGTAGGAGATAATTCAGCTTCTGCTGTAGTGGAGGCTGTCTGCAGCGCAAATAGCTCTTAAGTGAACAAATATGACAAGTCCAACTAATGAAACAGTTATTCATGGCACTCCAGAACGCTGAACTATCTCAAAATCATTTCAACTTTTCCCCATCATCCCGTTGGCAGATAGACATAATAAATAATTAGATTGAGAAATAATAATTTACAGAGAAGATGAAAGGTCATAAGAAACTGAGAAACCAAGAGTGTGAAAAAACATATGCTTGGTGTCAGCAAACACATAGAACAACACAACACGAATTTTCCGCAATAAAAATAAAATAAAAAAAGGAGGGGGGGGGGGGTGGGGAAGGGGAGGGGGGTGGTTGGTTGTGTGGGGGTGGGGGTGTTCTCACACAATGAGGTCTAAGGACACATTTGTAAGCTAACAAACATATATATACTATTCCTTACGTGGCAGAACATTTATTTGCCTGATCACAATGAAATAGATTTAAAGATCATTCATAGAATGAAAACATTTAAGATTGATTATATGGTAAACACCAAAAATTACCAATCATGTTCTTCCAGTGTTAAAAAAAAAAAAAAAAAAAAAAAAAAAAAAAAAAAAAAAAAAAAAAAAAAAAATGGAATCCCAACATTTGGTAAACTGAAAATCCAAACCAAGTTGAGGCCAAACAACAATTGAACAGCCAGAGTAAGGCATTGCTTTCCAATCTGATATAGATCAAGCAGTCAACTAAGCTACCTTAAGCATATTGTGATTAACCAAGATTGAAAACTCTTTATAATAAAAGAAAACAAATCAAGATCAAGATCATTTTCAAAAACCAAAACAAACCTGATATGCCTTCTTTGACTGCTCAGCAACCTCTTTCCTTTCCTCACTACCCTTGAACTCAGCCAAGTACCTATAATAATCTCCTTTCCTACACAAAACATATGAAACAAAATAAACCCCTCAAAAAGCGAAACCAAGTAAAAAAGGAAACCCTTATTATGAAGAAAAAAACACTCACATTTTATAATAGAACACCGTGGATTCACCGCCCGTGCAGGATGGAATCAAATGCTCATCAATCACAGTCATAATGTCGGTGCAAATATTTGATAACTCACTTTCTACCTTTTGCCTATACCCCTTAATTATTTTGACATTCTGATCGTTCCCTTTTGTTTCTTCTTTTTGCTCGATTGATGAGAGAATCCTCCACGACGCTCTACGCGCCCCAATCACGTTCTTGTACCCAACTGAGAGAAGATTTCGCTCCTCTACCGTCAGTTCTACGTCCAGATTCGCTACTTTTTTCATAGCATCAACCATATCTGTCAAAATCCCAAAGTTCAAAAAGTTAGAATTTAGACCAAATAAAAAAAAAAGTTCAGATCCTTGCTTGGACACACTGATCTCAAGTGAGTAAAGTTCAATTAAGCCAAATCCTTATGAAAAATTTCATTCTTTTTTTCTTTTTTTGGGCATATGGAAGCAAATGCATCAAGAATCATAAAAAAAAAAAAAAAAAAAATGTAGAAAGAGATAAATTGAACCTTCGTAGCGTTCAGCTTGTTCAGCGAGCTTGGCGATGTAAACGTAGTTCTCTCTTTCTTTGGCCATGGCTGATCTCTGTGTGTAATCGTGTATAGTTAACTTAAGAGCTTGGGACAAGAAGATGGTTTCTCTCTTTTATTACAAAGTCTATGGGCTTTTGCTTTGGTTGAGTGAAGAATAAGGGGACAAGACACGACAGGCCGGCTCTTGTTCAAATGGGAAATTTCCACGCGCGCTGTGGAATGTGGATGACATATCGGTTTAGTATTGGGTAGTGATGATGACGAGGTGTGATATTGAATGGGGGAGAAATGAAAATATGACACATCGGCATTTAGTTTCTACCAATTACTTTAGTCGTGGTAGTGGTTGATGTGTACGATGCGATTCACATTATAACAAAAAGAAATTTCCTAGGGGTCTATTTGTAATTTTTGTGAATACTAGAGAGGTAATGGTAAATTTCCCAGGTCCCTGCAACCGAAACCAGAACTTATGTTTCAGGTTCCGGAACCAGCCGATTCCAATTCTGATTCCATGGGATTTAGGCAGACACCCGAGCTCGCCCACACGTATCCAAAATCATGCTAATGCAGTGAGTGTATCATTACCTGAAAAAGAAGGAAAATGGCATGAACACATTATTTGTTTTGGTATTAGGCTATTAGGCTTGGACGGAATTGCTATGTTCACATTATTAGGTGGGTATTATTTAATTCTTAAAACTGCAAATCATAATTCAAGATTGATCTGATCAAAAGTAATTGGGTGATGCTATGGGTACTAATGGATGAGTACTAATATGTGTACTAACTAAAGCATAGTATCTGTACTATGCACATAGTACGGGTACTATGCTTTAGTTAGTACACATATTAGTACTCATCCATCAGTACCCAAAGTATTATTCAAAGTAATTACTCCCCATTAATATCACCGGGATAGTGACGTTATTAGGCAAAACTTAGCTCCCCCACCAACACTATTACATCAACTCATGGGCCCAGATTAGAACTTAATCTAGTTAGTCCAAGAAGTAAATTTAACCCCATTGTACATAGCTTTAATTAAAATCAAAGAGAGAGAAAAAAAACCCACAGAAATGACTTACAAGATAATTGACATAAAAAATTAAAACAAGTTAACGCTTCGCTGAAAAGTTTTCCAAAGAATGCGGTGAACATGAACAGATTGTTGTGTAGTGAATTTCTTTTGAAGTGACAGGTGAGTGAGTTATGCTTTCCAACCATAATTATACAATTTGGTGAGGTAGGCACAAAACTATGTAACTTTCTATCAGTGACCACTGAAAGAATATTTCCTCTTTTTCATTTCATCATGTCTCTGCTTCTACTTTGTAAGTAATCCATCTCTAAAAGCAGCTAGATACAATGAACCACGAAAACTCCGGTTGCTTTAGGCTGATATTCCCATCCTAACTGCTGTAAACAAGGTATCATCTCCTCTGTTAACATAACAAACTTAAGTTGTCAAGCCTCATTAACATGGAATAACCAACTTCAGTTGAAGAATTGCTATATAATTCAGCTTCTGTTGCCATCAAAGTTACTTCATTTTGCGTGGCCTCCTTTGCTTTGACTGCTTCTGGACCAAAATAGGGGCCATCAGAGGAACCACTGCACAACATGCTTGAACCATGAAAAGATCTACGAGGAGGCTGTCCATTAATTATAAAATATCAGCAAGATAAACAAAAATAAAATACCATCTTGATTAATGTACGGTACTAATTAACATATAATTGGTGCTTTAAAACTCCCAGTTGCAAATTCTATGTGTACCCTTTAAATTTATTCAGGGCTGAAAACCTTAAATTTTCCCATGGCAAACTCTTTGCGCTCCCATCATGGAAAATTCTTCTTCACTCACTCTCACTTAGCACTATTATGGCTACGCATGATATTTAGGGGTTACAAGTAGTGAATCCTAAGCTAAACCAAAGATGCAGGAGCCTATTCATTTTATATAACTTCACTGATAATTTCAAATTAAAAGAAATTCTAACCAAGCTAGCACAGAAAAAGACAAGATGAGATAAGCTTTCAACCAAAGGTTGTCTGTCTTCATGACATTGTATATACTCGAACCCTTACTATACTTGCCATATTTGTGGCACTTGCACAACACTTAGCATGGCCTACTAAAAATGCCTTACAATATAAGATGAGAAATTTTCTCTTATCAAATTAATGAAGGGTGAATACAGCAACAACTTTAACAAGAATTACAATAAAAAGATCATTACTAAAATGAAAAGTAATCATGGATTCTTCATCCTACTGCAACATCTTCAAACAACTCAAGGGAAAGAAGTAAATTTCCATCTAAATAACTCACTATAATATCTGGAAACAACTCGGTGGCCTCATTATGACCAAAATCAAATTTCTAACTCTTGACTCAGCCAATAAAAGAGAAAACCCAATACCAGCATAATGTGCTTTTGGGTGAGTAAGAAACTTGGCAATCACGCCAAACCATGACATAATGGAAAAATAAGAATTTTTGAAACTTAAACTTGTGTAGTATCCTACATTTGCTATTAACATGCACATCCACACAGACAAGAATGCATTCCCAAGGATGTATATACACAAAGCACACAAGCAACAATCCTTTGGCCCATATGAGTAGTCAACTCTTCGTTTTTTATGCTTTATAGTTTACAGATAAACTATTGGGTTTCATCTATCGCTATTGATGATAAGATTTTTTTAATCCATTCCATAATTGAATGCACACATATCTAATAAAGGGTCAGTAAAGCTTTATGAATCATCAAATAATGCATTTGAAGAAGAGAAACCATCATACTGACCTGCACAAGCTCTGGCTCCCTCCTATGGAGGATGTGCGCTAACAAACCATATCTTTTTGTTGCCAAAGAAACCAATTTGATGGTGAAGGAGATGATTAACTAAGAAGAGAGAGGTAGCTGAATGTTTTTTAAGAATGCAGTAGGATACAATCATCTGATAGATTTGCATAAAGAATGCAACCCCAAAAAATTTTGAATTTCTTGTAGTAATAACATACTAAAGTGAGTTTTCAAAAAAGTCCACTGTTGGAAACCTTCACATATTCTCACAGTTGAACACATGCAAGGCCAATAAGGTATTGTAATGCCCTGTCTCAATATCCTCTTGCTTCACCTGATGGAGGAGGAGCATCTCAATAATAAAGTCTTCCCAATCAATTTCACCAAGTTTTCTCTTTTTCCTCTTCTCAGCAAATAAACATTCCAAAGAGCCAACATTTTCACCATCACCTGCATCAGGTCTTCATGGATGCATAACCTTATGAATCCTTACCTTAGCTAAATTTATCTTTGCTCTCCTTCTCTCATTCACCATGCAACCATTAACAAAAAATGGAGGCATAACATCCAGTCCTACATCTTTCTCCAAGATTTTCCTAAGCATAAGTTTCTGGCTCAATTCTGATTTTCCATTCCACCAGTCCTTACAAGCACTAAGCTCAAACCCTCTCCTTCTCTTCCTCCCATATACCTCTTCACTCACTCTAGACAACCTCCTACCATCAACCTCATTTGAAAACTTAGTATAAATCATTTTCAGGCATTCATGAGAAAGCTCAATCTTATCACCATTACCAACCCCTCCTCTATTAAAGCCCCTTCTATCATCCATATCAAAATACCGAGCATCAGTTTCCACCTCATTCTCATCAATCCCATAATCAAAATCTTTCTCTAGACACTCTCTAACCATGCCATCGAAATTGACCCCACCAAACTTCACCCTTTTCTCATCTTCTTTTTTATTCTCCATAGATTTCATATCCATATAACGCATTACAAATGGTACATTCTTCATTATATTCTTTACATTTACATCCTTTCCCCATGGCAATACTTGAGCCACCTTCACAAGTGCTTCCAACAACTCCGAATACCGCCTTCTACATGTTCCTCCAACACAATGTACCTCCTTGGCAACATCCTCAATCTTCAAACCAACCCCATTCAACTCAGCCACAAACACTAAAACAGCTGCCACCAACGGCATTGGCCTCCTCCCTGTCGTCAGAAACCACTTCACAGCACAATTCAACAAAATCACCCCTTGTTGTCTCATTTGCTCCAACTTATCCCTCTCCAATTGAACCAATTTTTAAAAAAAAAAAAAAAAAAAAAAGGATCCCAACATTTGTAAACTGAAAATCCAAACCAATTTGAGGCCAAACAACAATTGAACAGCCAGAGTAAGGCATTGCTTTCCAATCTGATATAGATCAAGCAGTCACTAAGCTACCTTAGCATATTGTGATAACCAAGATTGAAACTCTATAATAAAAGAAACAAATCAAGATCAAGATCATTTTCAAAAACCAAAACAAACCTGATATGCCTTCTTTGACTGCTCACAACCTCTTTCCTTTCCTCACTACCCTTGAACTCAGCCAAGTACCTATAATATCTCCTTTCCTACACAAAACATATGAAACAAAATAAACCCCTCAAAAGCGAAACCAAGTAAAAAGGAAACCCTTATTATGAAGAAAAAAACACTCACATTTTATAATAGAACACCGTGGATTCACCGCCCGTGCAGGATGGAATCAAATGCTCATCAATCACAGTCATAATGTCGGTGCAAATATTTGATAACTCACTTTCTACCTTTTGCCTATACCCCTTAATTATTTTGACATTCTGATCGTTCCCTTTGTTTCTTCTTTTTGCTCGATTGATGAGAGAATCCTCCACGACGCTCTACGCGCCCCAATCACGTTCTTGTCCCAACTGAGAGAAGATTTCGCTCCTCTACCGTCAGTTCTACGTCCAGATTCGCTACTTTTTTTCATAGCATCAACCATTTCTGTCAAAACCCCAAAGTTCAAAAAGTTAGAATTTAGACCAAATAAAAAAAAGTTCAGATCCTTGCTTGGACACACTGATCTCAAGTGAGTAAAGTTCAATTAAGCCAAATCCTTAAAAAATTTCATTCTTTTTTTTTCTTTTTTTGGGCATATGGAAGCAAATGCATCAAGAATCATAAAAAAAAAAAAAAAAAAAAAGTAGAAAAGAAAATTGAACCTTCGTAGCGTTCAGCTTGTTCAGCGAGCTTGGCGATGTAAACGTGTTCTCTCTTTCTTTGGCCATGGCTGATCTCTGTGTGTAATCGTGTATAGTTAACTTAAGAGCTGGGACAAGAAGATGTTTCTCTCTTTTATTACAAAGTCTATGAGCTTTTGCTTTGGTTGAGTGAAGAATCGGGGACAAGACACGACAGGCCGGCTCTTGTTCAAATGGGAAATTTCCACGCGCGCTGTGGAATGTGGATGACATATCGGTTTAGTATTGGGTAGTGATGATGACGAGGTGTGATATGAATGGGGGAGAAATGAAAATGTGACACATCGCATTTAGTTTCTACCAATTACTTTAGTCGTGGTAGTGGTGATGTGTACGATGCGATTCACATTATAACAAAAGAAATTTCCTAGGGGTTATTTGTAATTTTTGTGAATACTACAGAGTTAATGGTGAATTTCCCAGGTCCCTGCAACCGAAACCAGAACTATGTTTCAGGTTCCGGAACCAGCCGATTCCAATTCTGATTCCATGGGATTTAGGCAGACACCCGAGCTCGCCCACACGTATCCAAATCATGCTAATGCAGTGAGTGTATCATTACCGAAAAAGAAGGAAAATGGCATGAACACATTATTTGTTTTGGTATTAGGCTATTAGGCTTGGAGGAATTGCTATGTTCATATTATTATTTAATTCTTAAAACTACAAATCATAATTCAAGATTGATTAAAATAATTACTCCCATTAATATCACGGGATAGTGACGTTATTAGCAAACCTTAGCTCCCCACCAACACTATTACATCAACTCATGGGCCCAGATTAGAACTTAATCTATTAGTCCAAGAGTAAATTTAACCCCACGTACATAGCTTGATTAAAATCAAAGAAAAGAAAAAAACCCACAGAAATGACTTACAAGATAATTGACATAAAAAATTAAAACAAGTTAACGCTTCGCTGAAAAGTTTTCCAAAGAATGCGGTGAACATGAACAGATTGTTGTGTAGTGAATTTCTTTTGAAGTGACAGGTAGTGAGTTGCTTTCCACCATAATTATACAATTTGGTGAGGTAGGCAAAAACTATGTAACTTTCTATCTGACCACTGAAAGAATATTTCCTCTTTTTCATTTCATCATGTCTCTGCTTCTACTTGTAAGTAATCCATCTCTAAAAGCTAGATACAATGAACCACGAAAACTCCGGTTGCTTTAGCTGATATTCCCATCCTAACTGCTGTAAACAAGGTATCATCTCCTCTGTTAACATAACAAACTTAAGTTGTCAAGCCTCATTACATGGAATAACCAACTTCAGATAGTTAAGATTGCATATAATTCAGCTTCTGTTGCCATAAAGTTACTAGTTTGTCATTTTGCCGGCCTCCTTTGCTTTGACTGCTTCTGGAGTAAAATAGGGGCCATCAAGGAACCACTGCACAACATGCTTGAACCTGCAAAAAAAGACTCCTGGATGTAATACAGGATTGGCAATCCAAAAATCAAAATATTATCTCACAGATGAAACCCACATAACAGAAATACGAACAAGAGTACTTGAATGTTGTCTCTTGAAAACTAAGCAAGAACATCTTAAGAGTTATGGAGGCAGTACAACTTCTTTGTTATCATGCTACAGGTACCAAGTCACTAGCTGGTTCACCGAGGACACAAAAGAACTGCAAATGAAATAAATGAAACCACCCTTCGTTATCCAATCAAAATGTAAAATAACCCACACAGCTTGCACAGTGTGGCTAGATAAGAACAACCAACCTCTGTTTTTTCACTCTTGGCCTTCAGCAGATTGAGAGATGTCCATCTTCTGGGCCTCTTCCACTATTTTAACAATCAGATAAACAATGGAATCACTAACTAAAAATTTGTATAAAAGAAAAATAAAGATGAGCAAATCCCAAGCATAGATAAAGATTCGGTAAAAGAAGACACTTCATTGACGAGGATTGATTGGAATATAAGAGATAGAGAATTAATAATGCACAAGGACAAGAATTTGAAAGAACATAGTCATCAAGGGCATAGCCAATTTTTGTCGATAATTCTGGTAATGAAATCAAATATATGAGACGGAGCACAAGGATAAAGATTTAGAAGAAATCAATTCGAAAAAACTAACATTCAAGTAGCATTTGAAAATCACTGGCCAATATTCCAGTTATCCAAACCATAACTAAACTCATTTATGAACCTAGCACTTTCCTAACTCACTTGCACCATTCAGTGATACCAATCACTTACAAAGCTCATGAGCACTAGAGAACTCTGTACTTCAGGCAAACACTTGAAGGAAAAAAATGTTCACTGTAATTGCCAGATACAATGCTAAAACATGACATCATATCCAACAACTTAATTTAAATGTGGATCTATCCCATGCAAACTACAAAAGGAAAATGCTATAATATCAACAAGTAGCCCTAAGAAACATTCCAGGATATTAATCCAATCAAACTTCCCGAAAGTTGACCGTACATGATCACTAACGTGTTAAAATTATAAATTTTGAAATTGAGAAATTCAGCAGTATCTGACTATTGAAATATGGTGATATTGGGCATAGAGAAGAATTGACAGTAAATAAACTAATTTTTGATCCAAGAAGTCCTGACGTATCGATTAGGAGGTAAAAGTGTTGGAATATTATTTCTCCAGGAGAAAAGAATTGAGCTACCTCCATCCTGTGCCTCTGGCATTTCAGAAGTCCACAAAGTGAGATTGTCTCTTAATAGCTGCATAATCAATGTGCTGTCTTTGTAAGATTCCTCACTCAATGTATCCAATTCTGCAATAGCTTCATCAAAAGCCTGCTTTGCAAGGTGACATGCCCTGGAGAACAAGTTAAAATATAACGAGATTCCATATGGGTCACAAGAAGAATAAAAGAGCAGTCATAGAATTCAAAATTTTCAACAAAAGATAATAGTCTGTGTACCTTTCAGGAGCGTTCATAATTTCATAATAGAAGACTGAGTAGTTCAAGGCCAAACCAAGTCTGATGGGATGGGTAGGAGATAATTCAGCTTCTGCTGTAGTGGAGGCTGTCTGCAGCGCAAATAGCTCTTAAGTGAACAAATATGACAAGTCCAACTAATGAAACAGTTATTCATGGCACTCCAGAACGCTGAACTATCTCAAAATCATTTCAACTTTTCCCATCATCCCATTGGCAGATACACATAATAACTAATAAGATTGAGAATATAATAATTTACAGAGAAGATGAAAGGTCATAAGAAACTGAGAAACCAAGAGTGTGAAACAACAAATGCTTGGTTTGGTGTCAGCAAACACATAGAACCAACAAACACGAATTTTCTGCAATAAAAATAAAATAGAAAAAAAGGAGAGGGAGGAAGAGGGAGTGGGGGGGGTTGTTTTTCTCACACAATGAGGTCTAAGGACACATTTGTAAGCTAACAAACATATATACACTATTCCTTAATGTGGCAGAAACATTTATTTGCCTGATCACAATGAAATATGATTTAAAGATCATTCATAGAATGAAAACATTTAAGATTGATTATATGGTAAACACCAAAAATTACCAATCATGTTCTTCCAGTGTTNTGAATTTGAGAAATTCAACATTATTTGACTATTGAAATATGGTGATATTGGGCTTAGAGAAGAATTGACAGTAAATAAACTAATTTTTTATGCAAAAAGTCTCGACGTATCTATCAAGAGGTAAAAGTGTTGGAATATTATTTCTCTTGGAGAAAAGAACGAGTTACCTCCATCCTCTAGAATGTTAAAAGTCCACAAACTCTTAATAGCTGGATAATCAATGTGCTGTCTTTGTAAGATTCCTCACTCAATGTATCAAATTCTGCAATAGCTTCGTCAAAAGCCTGCTTTGCAAGGTGACAAGCCCTGGAGGACAAGTTAAAATATAATGAGATTCTTGTGGACACCTAGCAACCAAATGCTATAACAGAAAAGGGCAAAAATGGAAAGGGAAGGCGTGACAGGTGACGATTAAGCAAAATAGCACAATGAAGGGTTAACAGATGGCAATTTGGCACAAGCGTGATGAAATTGTTAGAGTTTGTTAGAGAAGGGAATCTTGAGTGAGAATAACAAGAGAGTAGAAGAGTAGTGGGGGATTATGGGAAATTAGTGGGGAATTAGTATAGGAGGAACTGACCCTTGAAGATCAGTGTGTCACTTATTCTTTATTTTCATTTTCTGTTAATTATAGTCTTTTTCCTTAATACAATTTCCATTTTTGCTTGGTGAATACTCTATGGTTTGATTATTTGTGTTGTGCATATTGTCTATTGTTTAAACATGAGTCTAGGAGGTTGGTTTTTATCAAACTAGTATCAAAGCTTGGCGATTACGGGGTATGGTTGGTACAATGATGGAAAGCAGGATGGACAATGTTGAGAAAGATGTTGCTAAAGTGTTAGAGAAAGTAAATTCGATGAGAGAAATATTGATGGATATGTACAATTGGATGCACAAAAAAGATGAAGAAGAACGTAGAAGAAACTTAGCTAGGAATTCGAGCTGAGGCAGGGAAGGCCAAAATGAATAGGAGCATCATGAAGAAACTGGAGGCCAAAGAGGAACCGACAGTGGAGGTCGTGCTAAGCAGGAGCTTCACAAGGATGGTGGAGGTCACACGAGTTTCATCGGGATATTGAAAGCATGGCAAAGATGGATGGAACCATAACAGAAAAGGTTGGACACGCCGTGAATGGGGTGGTCGGAAATTGGAGTTGCCCATCCTTTCCGGTGAAGAACCGCGTGGTCGGATCTTTTAGGGGGAACATTATTTTGCCATTAACCAGATCAACGAGGAACAAAGGGTGTTGGTAATGGCATTATGCATGGAAGGGGAAGCCCTCCACCAGTATCAATGGATGGAGACACGAATGGCATTAACGACCTAGTCGAAGTTTAAGGTCTCTCTGTTCCAGCGATTTAGTGGAACCCAAGAGGTGAGGCCGCTAAAGTTATTGATGGTAACGAAGCAGAGTGGGACAGTGCTGGAGTATCGCCGCTGGTTTGAGAAGGTTGTCATGTTGACATCAAGGGGAAGAGAGGAAGTCTTGAAGGCAACGTTCTTGAATGGGTTGAAACCAGAGATTCGGGCTGAAATCAAACTCCAACAACCCAATTTGCTGACCTAGCCCAATTCATTGACCCAAGTGACAAACTTAGCCGAAAAGTGGAAGAGAGGAATTAGGCTGTTGAAGAGGCTAGGCATGGGCCAGGCCGACAAAGTAAATGGGCCACTCCAAATGTTGGGCCATGAGCTTACTCATATACCTAACCCGACCTGACGACGCTAAACCAAGCCCAACCCCAGTCAAATCAACCTGATCTACATCTCCAAACCTACCTAACACCAGTCAAACCAAAAATGAAACCCAGCTCAGCCCAACTTGTCGTCCTCTTTCAACTTCTAGCCAAGCTTTTTTCGGCGAGACTACACCTCTAAGAAGATGATAGAAAGTGAGATCCAAAGGAAAAGGAAGAAGGGGTTATGTTTTCCGTGTGACGCCGAANTTTCTGTTTTGTTACGAATCCATTTCCTCTTAATACAATTTTATTCCAGTTTAGTATAGTGCTTGTGGTTGAATATTTGCTTTTACTTTTATTGTCTGTGTTTAAACGTGAGTCTGGGAGGCTGGTTTCCATCAAATTGGTATCAGAGCTCGGTGATTGCGGGGCATGGTTGGTACAAGGATGGAGAGCAGGATGGGCAATGTAGAGAAGGATGTTGTTAGAGTGTCGGAGAAAGTGAACTTGATGAGGGAAATCTTGATGGATATGCAGAACTGGATGCGAAAAAAAGACGAAGAGGAGGAAGAGCAAAGAAGCAACTTATCTGGGAATTCGAGCAAAGGTAGGGAAGTCCAAAACGAACAAGAAGGACATGAGGAAGCTGGAGGAAACCAAGGTGGTGGACGATTTGAGCAGGAGCTTCACAGGGAAAGTGGGGGACGTAATGAACACGAGATTCACCGGGACACAGGGAACCACGACGGAGATGGATGGTACCACAACAGGGAAGCTTGGAACTGTCGTGAATGGGGTGGCCAAAAACTGGAGCTGCCCATTATTTACGGTGAAGACCCACAGGGTTGGATCTTTTGCATGGAGCAATATTTCGCCATTAATCAGATCAATGATGAGCTGAAGGTGTTTGCGATAGCTTTATGCATGGAAGGGGAAGCTCTCCACTAGTATCAGTGGATGGAGACGTGAATGGTGTTAACTACCTGGCCGAAGTTCAAGTTTTCTCTATTCTAGTGCTTTGGTGGAACTTAGGAGGTGAGCTCGTTGGAGTTACTGATGTTGATGAAACAGAGTAGCACTATGATGGATTATCGTCACCAGTTTGAAGAGGTTGCCGCGTTGATGTTGGGGGAGCTTGAGGAGGTCTTGACGGCGGTGTTCTTGAATGGATTAAAGCCTGAGATTCGGGCTGAAATAAAACTCCAACAGCCCAATTTGTTAACCCAACCCAATTCTCTCACCTAAGCCACTTATTTAGCCCAAAGAGTAGAAGATAGAAACCAGGCTGTTGAGGAGGCCAAGCTTGGGGCAGGCCGACAAGGGAAATGGGCCACTCCAAATATTGGGCCACACAATTACACAACTCTAACCCGACCTGACAAAATTAAACCAAGCCCAAACCCAATTGAATCAACCTGCTCCACGACTCCAAACCCACCCAACACCCAACGAAAGCCGATCGAAACTCAATGCAGCCTTGGCTCATCGACCTCCATTAATTTTGGCCAAATCCGCGAGACTACCCTTACAAGAAATGACAGAAAGTGAGATCCAAAGAAAGAGGGAGAAAGGCCTATGTTTCCGGTGTGACGCCAAGTATTCGCCAGGCCACCAATGTGGGGACAGAGTGTTTCAGGTGCTGTTGGTTGACGAAGACGACCCAGAGGCCCTAGCTTTGTGGTTTTTTGGGACTGATTGGTTATTACAGAAAATTCGTAAACGGTTATGGCAAGATTGCACTACCTTTGACCAATCTCCTCCGCAAGGATGCCTTCCATTGGATAGAATCATCTCAAAAAGCATTTGAAGAACTTAAACAAGTCATTACCACGGTACCTGTCTTATCAATGCCCAATTTCTCTAAGACATTTATCATTGAAACAGACGCATCGAGGCAAGGAATCGACGCTGTGCTAATGCAAGAGGGCAGACTGCTGGCATTCCTTAGTTAGGGGCTCTCTACATGGCCTCGATTGAGGTTAGTCTATGAAAGGGAATTGATGGCCATCATTGTAGCTGTCCAAAAATGGCGACACTATCTATTGGGCAGGCACTTCATCATTAGGACTGACCAACACAACCTACACTATTGGAATGAGCAGAGGTTGCAAGGAGAGGAACAACAGTAATGGATTATCAAGTTACTCGGTTTGGATTATGAGATACAGTATAAACCGGGGTTAGAAAAAAAAACAGTAGATGCCCTGTCCAGACGAGATGAAACAGCGGAGTACAACGCCATATCCATATGCTATTTTGCTAATAGAGATGAATGGGAAGAGGCTATTTGGCAAGATGTCAAGCTTTGGAAGATTTGCCAAGATTTAATCACAGATCCTCAAAGTCATCCACATTTCAGGTTAGTTGGCCATCAATTATACTACGATGATTGTGTAGTCCTTCCGAAATCTAGTTCACAAGTTCAGCAACTTCTACTGGAATTTCATTCCTCCCCTTTAGGGGGTCACTTGGTGTTTTTTCGGACCTACCAAAGACTAGCACTTGTGGTTTATTGGGACGGGATGAAACAAGACATTCAAAAATTTGTGAAAGATTGCCCAATTTGCCAACAAAATAAATATGAGGCCCTCCAACTTGTAGGACTGTTGCAACCGTTACCTATCCTTACCCAAGTATGGGAAGATATCTCCATGGACTTCATAATTGGCCTTCCAAGAGCTCATCAGGTAGATAATATCTTAGTGGTGGTTGATTGCCTCACTAAATACAATCATTTGCTTCCCTTGAGGCATCCCTACACCGCTAAAGACATAGCTATCCTATTCCTTAAGGAGGTGGTTAAACTACATGGGTTCCATCGTACCATAGTTTATGATCGAGATCAAGTCTTCATGAGTATCTTTTGGGGAGAATTGTTCAAGCAATCTGGTACACAACTCCATACGAGTACTGCCTACCATGTACCATCCACAGTTTGATGGGCAAACGGAAGTTGTGAACCGATGTGTGGAGACTTATTTGCGTTGCTTTGTGGGACTCCAACCGCAACATTGGCCTAAGTAGCTAGCATGGGCCGAATACTGGTTTAACACCACGTATAACCGTTCTTTAGGCATGACCCCCTTCCGAGCCTTATACGGTCGAGATCCGCCAATTATCCTCAAATACAGTGAGAACAGTTTTGTCGTAGATGATGTCGATCGGCAATTAACTGATAGAGACTCCATTTTGAAAGAATTAAAAGCCAACCTGGCTAAGGCTCAAGATAGCCTGAAGAGTTACTCCGACGGGAAAAGACGAGAAGTTCATTATGCAGTGGGGGATTCTGTTTATTTGAAAATTCAGCCCTACCATCTCAAATCCTTGGCACGAAGAGTTAATGAGAAGCTTAGTCTCAGGTTTTACGGTCCCTATACGGTTGCAGAAAAGGTAGGTCCAGTTGTTTATAGGCTAAACCTTCCTCCTACAACCCGCATTCATGACGTCTTCCATGTTTCACAGCTCAAGAAAGCCACCTCCCATCCCATTCCTACACAACCCCTTCTAATTGCCTTGATCATGATCTGACACTCAAAGTAGAGCTTGAGCAAGCCCTCAAAAAGCGACGTCTGTTAGATGACAGCTATGAAGTGTTAATTAAGTGGAAGACTTTGCCCACCTGTGATAACACGTGGGAAGCCTACGACACTATCTGTCGTCAATTTCCTTCTTTCCACCTTGAGGACAAGGTGACACTCCTTGGGGAGGGTAATGATGGACACCTGGTCACCAAGTGGTATAACAAAAAAGGGCAAAAAGGGAAAGGGGAGGCAGACGAAGGCGGGACAGATGGCAAGGAAGCAAATGACACAATGAAGGCTCAACAGATGGCAATTATTGTTAAAGTTTGTTAAGAGGAGGGAATCTTGAGTAAGATTAAAAGGAGAGCAGGACTGTAGGATAGATTATGGGAAATTAGTAGGGAATTGTATAGGAGGAACTGACCCTAAAGTTCAGTGAATTGCTGGGTCTATTTCCATTTTCTGTTTTGTTACGAATCCAATTCCTCTTAATACAATTTTATTCCAGTTTAGTAAAGTGCTTGTGGTTGAATATTTGCTTTTACTTTTACTTTTATTGTCTGTGTTTAAACGTGAGTCTGGGAGGCTGGTTTCCATCATGTTCCTTAAATCTTCTGTTCCTTTCGAAGTAAACTATCCAAAAATAGCCATAATTGAACCTAAAACACTGAAGCTTCTTCTCTTGCCTAAAGCACTATGCTTCTCAACCAGCAAAGAGACACAAGAACTGGGAATTCCCTGCCCAACTTAGCTTTAGAATAACAAGAATTCCATAATGGCAAGGCAACATGGCAGTGGAGATAGAGTTGATTATGCTTTCATCTTCCATTTTCCACATGTTGCATCATTGAGTAACAAGCCCCTCATTGTATAATAATTTCTATATGATGTTTGAAGCAGTACTCCTTCTGTGACGGTATGTATACAACTTGTAATTAAATTTGTATGGCCCTTGATGTACTGACCTTTTTCATTGTTGTCAATGCATATTGTCACGTAACTAGATTGAATATATTATAATCATTGATGTTGGGTTGTTTATATGGATTCAGTTTTGCTTCACATTTTCAGGCACTCTTCTTTTGATGCTTACATATTGATGTTTTTAGTGACTCATTGTTTCCTGTAGTATGATTCTGTATATTTATTTTGTCTTATTTTTTATTCTAATTCGCTGTGTGATTTTTCTAGAGTATATTACAAGCTGATTCTTCACTAAGGCGTTCTGATGAAGAAATTGCTCTTCTGGATTCCTATGCATCAATAAAATCAAATCTTGTAAGTAATTTCTCTCTTCTGGGTTCTTTTGCAAGCACACTGGAGACTATTTGAAGTCTTGATGTTGGACATGACTTGACCATCCTTGGGGTTTTTTGTCATGTAATTACATGCCTGTTATTTATATACATATTCAGAATGTATTTGTTGAAGAAAAAACATTTGTTAGTCCACCTCTCATTATCTTGATTCATTCTGGCTTGCATGATAGTATAAGAGTGCACTGCTGGTGCGATGGATATAGCACATGCTTCATTTTTTTATTGCTTTATAGCTGTTCTGAATCATGAGGTATTACTATTCTGCTATCTGCCTTAATCTACTCCAGTGTAGCCTGGATGGGAAAGGTTGTGATTATACGATTTGTTTTAATATAAACTCGGGGGTGAGTTTTGTAACAAATCTTGGTATTCTTTTGAGAATCAATGATTTTTTTTTTTTTTTGGCTATTCTCAAAATCAACTTGCTATTGAATTCTATCCTTTTGCTGCGCCATCAATTCAAGCTTGAGTCTAGCTCAAGCAATAATTCAAGTCTATTCAGCTAAGCAACACTTTTGTGTTATTTATCAATGTAAATATTAGTATGCGCAGATCTAAAGATATCAAATTTAGATGACTGAGTTTTTAATCAAAACGGAAATTTTAGAAAAACATAATTAGATTTAATTATTTAGAGCTTGAGAAACCTCCTGTTTGGCTTAAATTGGCATTTGCAGCTCTATTAAAGTTTTAACGAGAGCTGTTAGAGGCTTTTAATTTCCTAGAAAAGCTCTTGATATGCTAGCTACCCTTTAGAGAGTGTTGTAATAGATGTTTGATAGTTTTAGTATTGGCCTCTGCTCTTTTTTTTTTTTTTTTTCCTTTTGGTGTGTGTGTGTGTGTGGGCAGGCCACCCTTTTGGCATTTTGATTTTTATCCTCACTTAATTAGTTGAAGGCCATCTCATACTGATGGTCTCAATAAAGTAGGGTCCTGGATAGGGTAATGTGGATATTGCTTGATGGTAACATAATACTAAATTTCAATTAGCATGGCTATTTGTCACATAAATGGTTTGCTACTTAATGCATTTCATTTAAACAGATTTCTCATGATTTTAGTTATTTTTTATCTGTATATGCATCTTTAAATAGAAATTTTACTTATCTTGCATCTGTTCTTTTGCTCTGAATCTGTTGTTCACTTATCATTCATTTACTTTCTTAATAACTGCACATGTAATATTCGTTAGGTCATCAAGAGTGGAAAGAAACTCCAACGGAAGAGGGCACATTCCCCTCATGAAGATGAAAATGACAGCATAGAGCTTCCATGCCCTCAATGTGGTAATAGATGTTGCATCTAATCTGTATTGACTTCGTATCCTTCTAATTAATGCGTTTTGTCATGCACACGGTTTGTTTCCTCTGGCCAGCTGCTCAAGTTGCCCTTTCATTTGCACTGCTATTGTTACAGTTAGAAATTATATTTTAGACCATCATGTTTGCAAGTCTTTATGATCATATGCAACCTTTCATGTTAAAATATGGCTAGTATGTCGTGTGCTGATACATATTTTTCTTTTGAGTTGCTTCCTCGTCCTTATTATAATGTTTTCTTTTTGGTCAAATTTTATATTTAACTAGTTTAATGACAACTTTCAGGTACTGAAGTTAGTGGGTTCCGCTGCAACCCGAACACAGTTCATTTGCAATGTCATGCATGTGGAGGAATGATGCCTTCCAGAACTGATATTAATGTGCCACAACACTGTAAGTGTCAATTTCTGTGTGTTGTTTGCCTACTGTGTCTTTCTAGTTTTAATATTTTTGAGTTGTAAAATCCCTTGAAAGCAGGTTGAGGATGATGTTGCTGTAGTTCCCTTTCAAATTATTATTTAATTTTGTGATGGTGCATGATTGGGTGAAAGTTCAAACTTATTAGTACCATTTTTAATATACGAGTGGAATGAGTTTTTCAAAGTTCAAGCTTAGAACCAGGACTGTTCTTTAAACAAAGCATAGTCCTAAAGTGGAGCATTGATTGAACAAGCACATTGGATTTGGAAAACTGGGTCCATTCTTTTTTATTTCCTTATTTCTTTATCAATGTATACTAGATATGAAACACTTTCCCTTTTTCAACCTCTCTCGCAGGTGTTGGTTGTGATAGAGCGTTTTGTGGTGCTTACTGGCAGGCTCAAGTGGTTAATAGAAGTGACATTCACCCTATGTGCAGTCATGATACTTTCAAACCTGTATGGGCTTCCTACTGTGTGGATTTATTTATTAATTCTTTTTTTTTTTTCTGAGTTATTTGTTCTGTTATGCATTGACGTAAAATTCATATACATGGATTATTGAGGAAAAAATATATTTGATCTGGTATAATTGTCTGGCAGCAGGGGTGTCTGGGAATGAACACCAAGACTTTTGGTTGTTAGGTAGTGTTGTTTATTTATTTATTTTTTGTGTTTCTAATATCCAAGATGAATTTGAAAATGAGCATACACAAACAATCTTTTGTATTTTCAAAACTAAAGAATGCATTTGTTTTCATTTTCTTTAAATTGTATTTTCCTTTTTGTATATGAAGTAAAGAGAGAATTCACAAAACCTCGTTTTTCATGTTGTCTGTTTTCATTTCTTAGTTATAAATAAGATTGTGTGTTTTCCCTTTTTGTCTTGGAAGAAGAAAATGGTCTAGTGAATGGATATTACATTTTTCAAGACAAAACAAACAAAAAAGCTTTTGAAATGAAGATGAAAGATGTTAATGAAAATATCCCTTTGTGAAATTTTTAGTTTTCAATTTTGTTCAAAGCAATTTTTTCTCATAGTGCTGAAACGTCTTCTAGGAATCAGAAGAAGATTATCATTTTTCCCCTGTTAACGATCATTTTCTCTGTGCTTTTTTTCCATTGTGCCTTAGCTTCAGTGTTTATCATTCTTTTTTCCCTATTAATGATCATTTTCTCGTAGTGCTGAAAAGTATTATGCTAAACACGCTTTCTTTTCTTTGGCTTATCTTTTTATTTATTTGATTTTTTAGTGAGATTATGATTTTTAGGATAAAATCTTGTAGAAGTACCATCTGACAGAATAAACAGAGGTATCATGCATGTCCATGCTTTTCCTTTTTCTACATTCATTTGTCCATTCCTAAAATTTTCAACATGATGCAAGCTACAACCTCCAAGGAGATTGCTACACTTTGTTTTTAATAGGATATGGAAATCTTTAATATATTCATTTCTCTGCCCTCCAGCAATAAACACTTCTTTTCTTCTGCCATATCTCTCATTCTATTTTATTTTTATTTCCTTTTCCAACAAAATAGTAGTTATTATGTAAAAAGGATGGGGATCATCATATCACCTATTACTAGTGTCTGATGCAAGTGAACTTTGATTGATGCTCCTCTCTAGGAGTGTAGCAGCTTAGAGAATACTTCCTTTGTGGTTGTTATGTAGCATTTTGTGTGAGAGGAACCATAGAGTTTTATATGGTTGGGATCTTTTTAGCAATTTGAAGGCAAGATTGCTGAGGATTGACACTATGGCTGACTTGTTTCATTGCTTTGAACTCTTCTGATAGATTCGTGATGTTTTTAGATTTTAGGTTGTAGAGTATTGCTAGACGGTTGTTAATTATGGTTATCCTTGCCTTCGGAAGAGTTTGTACAAGATCATCATGCTAATACTTACTGGAATGTCTATCAAGTTTGGGTGATCTTGAGATGCAGTTATTTTTCTTATTTTCAGATCTCAGAACGTACTCTCTCTAGGATTCCATTCGTTGCACATGAAATGAATCGGCATGAACAAGATGTATGAAATACTTCTTAACAAAATATGTATATATCTGAACGTTGTTTTTTAAAGTTGTTATTGATTGACATCCTAGTGGTTTTTTCAGATCACAGAGAGGTGTATTAGACAAACTGGGAGAACATTGCAGGATGTTATATCTGATTGGATTGGGAAGTTCAACAATAGAGAAATTGGTAAGTTGATGATAAGTTCTTTATCTTTTGTTGATGATAGATTGTTAATTCAACTAAGGGTTAGGTTATTCAACAAAATTTTAATGCAAATTTGTGACACAATTCATGGCTATTTATTCAATACAATCGAATAGACTTGAAATAGATGTTAGAGGTAGTTAATTTTTATGTCAACTAATCAACTTCTCAATCACTGGATTACCTTAATCTAAAACCATGATTTTTTTGACAAATTTGTATTAGAATAGCTTGACTTTTCGAATAATTTCTCAAGTTTACTTCTCTAAACTTGTTGCAGATCGAACAAGGTTGCCTCTGAATCATGCAGAAGCGATAACTGCTGGGACACATACTTGCAAGTAAGTTTTGTTGTTCCAAGGAACTTTCTGTAGATAAATCAAATTTTAACATGTAGTTACAGGTTCTTCAATACTTATATCAAATGAATTGTCTCTCATTTTTCCCAAGGGTCAGACTGGAAGCTCAATTTTTCCTAGCATGTCCACAGATTTGTTTTTATTAAATTTATGATACTTTGTTTTTTTAATAAATGCATTCTGGATTTTTCCTTATTTCCTTTTTTTGTCCTTTGTAATACTAAGATGTTAAGAATCCTTGTACAACATTTTATTGTGCAATTACTGTTTCTGGTGTCATCCAAGGTCCTCAACAAACTTGGCTTGTGAGAATGTGGTATGAGAGCACTGTATTTAATGTGCAAAGAATAGATGCTTTTTTTTTTTTAAATAGCCCATTAAACAGTGTTTCTTGTTGATATTTCGTTTAATACTATGCTTTTGCACTAGTTTTAATGGTATATAAAGGAAGAAGTTGCTGTCTGTCAAATGACATTCTCTTGCTTTTATAACCTCCAAGGTCTTGTTTTTGTTGCTGCTATTAATTTAAATAGTGAAATGCTAAAATTGATCTGAATTCCTCTTTATTGTAGTGAGTGCTACGATAAATTGGTTTCATTTCTGCTGTACTGGTTCCGGATTACAACACCGAAACATGTAAGTTCCAGCATCAGCAGCTTTTGTTAAGATTCTTATTCTTGAAATGATTTTCAATCATTTTTCCATATGACAGTGCCTACCACAGGATGTAAGGCAAAGGGAAGATTGCTGGTATGGACACGCATGTCGTACACAGCACCACAATGAAGAACATGCACGCAAAAGAAATCATGTTTGTCGTCCCACTAGAGGCACTCACTGAATTCTTCAGCTTACTGCTAAATATATCATGTTTATTTTTATTGGTGTTTGTATATTTATGGCATCTAAGAAAGTGGTTTGTGTATAAATCCAATAAATATATTATTCTAAAAATATAATGCGAGTATAGTAAAGACTAAAGAGCATTCCACATGCACTATAAACGAATTACAGCAATGAGTTTCTGAAAAATTTCACTTGGAAGCTCTGTTTTAAAAACCGGACCGGACCGGCCAGTCGGACCGGTTGGACCGTGAACCGGTAGCTTCTCCGGTCCGGTTTAGGTCTCAAGGGGGTTTTTGAAATATTTTAAAATTATGAGGGTTACTTCGTAATTTTATAGGGGTATTTTGAAGATATATCAAAAGTTTAGGGATTAATTGGTAATTTTATTGGGATATTTTTGGAATAAATAAAAATTTTAAGGACCAATTTAAACTTTTTTAGGAGAATTTTTGTAATATATTAAGATTTAAGGGGTTAACATGTAATTTTTTAAAAATAAAATATTGCTGACGTCACCGGTCCAACCGACCGGTCCAACCGGTTGGACCGATTGAACCGTGACCCGGACAGCAAAACGGTTTGCCCTCCGGTTCGGGTTTTAAAACAATGCTTGGAAGTTGAAACTTGGTCAAGGTACAAATACGATATCAAATACACTCATGAAAGATGTTTTCAACATGGATGAAACAAGATTGTTATATAGGTTCCAATAACCTGATCACTCTCTTGCAACTTGAAGGAAAAAAACAAAGCCTTACGATTGTTGTTTGTTGTAAAGAGGATGGCTCATCGGAAACAAGAACAGCTTGAATTGTCAATACCGTACCAACAAAAGATCGTGGATGACTGGGGTGCTTTTTGAGGAATATGGTCGATGGCTTTAAAAATAAAAAATAAAATAAAAAAGTGTGGGAGAAAAATTCTCTTGGTGAAACTTGAAAGATAATTGTCCACCCCATCCGAAAATTATTGAAGGATTACAGAATGTCGAGCTATTTTTTTCGTTGATGCGGGAATAATAAGAGCTTTCAAGATGCATTATCGTAGACGATTTTACCATAGAATTTTGGAGGGCTATGAACTGGAGGAAACCAATCTACAAAATAAATAAATAAATGTTTTGGATGCAATCAGTCTCAGCTTGGACAATAAATGTTCAGGCAAAGAATATAGCAAATTGTTTTCGACATTGCAAAACTCGTTCTGTGGAAGAAATAGCCTCAGAGAACTTAAATGAATCCTTAGATGAAGAAGACATTCATGAACTGGAGACAATAATCAAAGATTTGGGTTATCGTGCTAGAATCGATGTAAATTACCTCTTAGATTACCCTAGTGAAAATGATGCAAGTTCAGAGGTTTCAAGTTTGGAAGAAATCGTTGCTAACATCATTAAAAATCTTGCTATTGACAAAGTTAAGGATGATACAATAGATTTGGATTCTGTTACGCGCAAGGAAGCACTCAAAGCATTAACAACACTTTATAAATTTTTATTGCAATTCGAGAATTCAACTCCAAAACTTCTAGATGAAATAAGAAAAATTAGAGTTGAGATCCAATAAGATTTAGATTTCAAGAAAAAACACATAACAATAGTCATATTTTAATAAAATATCATAGTCAATTAGTAAGTTATTTATTTATGATATGAATGGGACCACAAAATTATGTAAGGTTTTCCATAATAGTATTATTTTATTGAAATTATTAATATAATCTATTAGCCCAAGTTAGGACAGTAAAAAATTATTATATGATAGAGGTTATTAATTTATCGAGTATTAATTTATAGAGGTTAAAGTATATGTTTCAATCCCATGTTAAATGTTTCGAAGCTATTGTTATTGGTGGTAGATGGTAAAATCTACTTGAAAGTCCTTTGGATTTGATTTTGTGAAAAATGAGCCATTGATAATTTTGTAGACTTACAACGACAAAGAAGAGTGAACGCGAAGAACTAGGGGACACTGGTAGGGGTGAGCATGGGTAGCGGGTAGAACCGGAACCGGGGGTAAGAACCGGAACCAGAACCGGAATCTACCCAGAACCTGCACTGTGCGGGTAGGTTCCGGTTCCAATTTTTTGGAACCGCTACTGTACGGTTCTGGTTCCTGTTCTTGCATGTGGAGGAACCGGAACCGGAACCGGAACCTATAAAAAGGGTACCCTGTTTGGAACCTGTTTTGGAACCTGTTTGGAACATGTTTTGGAACCTATTTGGAACCTGCTTTGGAACTTGTTTTAGAACCTGTTTGGAACCTATTTTTGGAACCTGTTTAGAACCTATTTTGGAACCTGGACTATAATAAGATATTTGTGAAATGTAAATAATGGGGGAGTTTCTATTATTTTACATATAAAAAAAGTTAAAATAGAAAAAGTTAAATTTTTAGAATAACCTAATTAAATAAATATATGAATACAATTATACTTATTACATATAAATTACACCATATTAAAAGCTTTAATATATTATAATACATTAATATTAANGGATTTCGTTTACTAGAAGATTCTTTTCTGATCTCATTTTCTTTGATCAAGAAGTTATCATCTTCCTTCTTCCAAAATGGCAGCTACTAGTGCAGATGGAGAAATGCAGTCTTCTACAAATAAGGCAAATGATCAATCAAGTTCATCAATCGATTTTAGTCATCAACTTTACTTACATCCTTCTGATACTCCACCAAGTGCTGTTCTTGTTTCTTTTCAATTTATTGGTGTAGATAATTACTCGTTATGGAGTAGATCTATGAGAATATCACTATTAGCCAAAAATAAGATTGGATTTATTGAAGGAACTTGCACAAAGGATAGTTTTCCAATTAGCTTGCACAATCAGTGGGATAGGTGTAATGCTATAGTTCTTTCCTGGATCATGAATTCAGTTACTAAAGAACTTTTAAGTGGCATCGTTTATGCTTCAAGTGCACATTTGGTATGGAAAGATTTAAAAGAAAGATTTGATAAAGTGAATGGATCTAGAGTTTTCCAGTTGCATAGAGAAATTGTCACCTTAGTGCAAGGAACTTCATCTATTTCCACTTATTTCTCTAAACTGAAAATGTTATGGGATGAATATTCGTCTATTATCCAACTTCCTTCACGTGAGTGTTCTATGTCAAAGGTTTATGTAGATCACATGCAGAATCAAAAGTTACTCCAATTCTTGATGGGATTAAATGAATCTTACTTGCATGCTAGAAGCCAAATTCTCATGATGCAACCTTTACCATCAATTAACCAAGCCTATTCTATGCTCGTTACTGAAGAAAGCCAGAGAAATTTAACCACTGCTGCTATTGTTGAATCCTCATCTGAGCCGACAGTACTTTATTCATCATCAAACCAACAATCAGCTAAGCCTAAAAAGAATTGGAATATAACTTGTGAACATTGTCATGTGAAGAGACACAAAAAGGATAATTGTTATAGACTCATTGGCTATCCTGCTGATTTTAAATTCACCAAAAGAAAGAATCCTACTCAGTCCTCAACAAATAACGTTACCACTACTGAATCATCTGATCACAGTAGTTTTGCAGCCATTGCAAATAGTACTCAAGCAGCTCCAATCTTTTCTAAAGAGCAGTATGTAGAGATACTGAAATTGCTTCAAAAGGAACCCTCATTACCTCCAAATGATGCACATGTCAATATGGTATTCACTCTTATTTTTCATCCTTAGATCATGGAGTCTGCTGGATATTAGACACAGGTACTAGTCACCATATGACAACTTCTTTAAACACTTTGAACAAATTGATGGGGACAGTTTCTCCTTCCACAGTTAGACTACCTAATGGACATCATTCAACCGTAACACATATTGGATCTTGTAACATTGGTCTAGATCAGAAACTGACTAATGTATTATTTGTGCCAGATTTCAAGTTTAATTTGATTTCCATATCAAAGCTCTCCAAAGACTTATCTTGCTTTGTCAGTTTCTATCCTGATTTCTGCATATTTCAGGGCCTCTCCAACGGAAAAATACTGGGGATTGGTAAAGAATCAGAGGGTCTCTACTTCTTCATGCCTTCTCATGCATCAATGGCTAATACTTCTACTTTGAATAAAACATTGCCTGTTTCTTGTTCAGTTTCTGTAAGCCAGCTTTGGCATAAATGTCTTGGCCATGTGCCATATGCAAAACTGAAATATTTTTCTAGAATAAGAACCTTTAACTCTGATGATGTTGAGTCTCATTGTGATATTTGTCCTCTTGCTAAGCATATACGAAAGCCTTTTCCTGTTAGTACTACAAAAGCTCCTGCATGTTTTCATTTGCTGCTTATGGATGTATGGGGACCTATCATACTCCTACACATAATCATCACAAATTCTTTCTTACAATAGTTGATGATCATTCCCGGATTACTTGGGTTTTTCTCATGACACATAAGCATGAAGTTATAGTTCATCTTAAAAGCTTTCTTACTCTTATCAAGAATCAGTTCTCAGCTTCTGTTAAGTATATTCGAACAGATAATGGCTTAGAGTTTCTTAATTCTCAATGCACTGCACTCTTCACTTCACTAGAGATTATTCACCAGAAAACTTGTGTCTATACTCCACAGCAGAATGAGGTAGTAGAAAGGAAGCATAGGCACTTACTTAGTGTTGCTAGAGCCTTGAGATTTTAGGCTTCCATTCCAATTAGATATTGGGGAGAATGCATACTCACAGCCTGCTATATCATTAATAGACTTCCTAATGATGTGCTCCTGGGCAGTTCACCTTATGAAGTTCTCTTTGGTTCTCCTCTTTCTATTGATCACTTCAAGGTGTTTGGGTGCTTGGCATATGCCTCTAATATGAGCTCCAGAGATAAATTTGGATTCAAGGTTGTACCATCAGTTTTTATGGGATATTCTTCACAAAAAGGATACAAGTTGCTAAACCTATAAGATTTCAGCTTCTTTGTCAATCGAGATGTCAGATTTATTGAGCACATATTTCCCTTTCAGTTCTAACAACACTCTCATGTTCCA